CAGACTACTTCCACATAATTGCTATGGATGCAGTACCAAATTTCAACTTTTAAATATCTCTTTAGAAGATCTTCTCACTTATTTAAACTAATTCACAATATTAAAATCTTTAGTATTAAGTAACTTTAAGGCGACGTCTATTGTGTATATTTCCATTTTAAGTCTTTATATATACATATTTTGATTTTTAATTCATACCTCTTAACCTCAATTAAAAATAATATCAAATTTAATCAGTAGGGAAGTATTCGATAATTTTAGAAAAAGAACGCCATCTATATTTTTTAAAAAGGGACCAAAATTTGAATAGGATTTTATATCATACAGCATATTAATTTCTAAAGTAATCTCTAAGTTTGAGTACTTCTCCCAAAACTAATTCGTAGATGTATCAATATGGCATTACAAAAAAGGTATTGAAGTTATAATTTGCATCTAATCATTAATATTTAGCTACAGTGAGAATGAGAATTTATTTCCAGTTATCTCAGTTCTTTTGATTATAAATAACAAGTTTCCGTTATTATTTTACTTCTTCTTAGAATTTTAGAATTTATTTTTCTCTTCTCCCAATAAAATAAGGACTCATTTCTTCAGATTAATCTAATGCTCATTAATTGAACTTGATTATCAAACTAAAGTTAAAAGATAGTAAGATTCTAATAATACTAACCTAATAAACAAACTTTAAAATTATCTATATGATCTCTATTATACAATATAGGTCGGAAAATAAGGTCTCAACTAGAGTTCCTAGCAAGATTTTTATCTAATGTAAAATCAGATTAAGAATTCTTTCAAATTAATTTTAGATGCATCGCAAAGAATTCCCTCATCGATTATTTTATTGGGTGACAATATTAAGATAAATCTCCTAAGATTTCACTTAAAGTTAATTTAGTTCTGTTATGGTCTGAGACCTTTCATAAATAGTGAGGTTTTTATAATATAGTTTAAACAATGGCTCGAATTAATACATATATGTATATACTTAGGAGTTTTATTCAATAATTAGATTCTCCTCTCCTACAAGTTTAACCAAGTACTGAAAACTAAGTTATTCATTTGATATTGTTCCTGAACTAAACTATTATACAATAGGAAAATTTTTGATGTCACCCTTAAAAATCTGAGATAAGGTTGGAAGATTAAAATGTTAGTTTATTAGAATTATTTTACATCTTTGTATTTTGATGGATGTGTGAATAGATGTAGATTTATGATGAAGTCAATAAAGAGAAGGTCTATTTTAAGATGGGATTCATTAGGATCTTTATTTGCTCAATTATTTTTCTGCATCTATTTCATCTTTTAATGAAAAGGATGATTTTTATTTGAGAAGTACACAAATTAGAAGACGAGGGAGAATAGTAATGTTGACAAAATCACAAAAAATTCATGGAAGAGGCAAGGGACTTCAATTTCAAGTCATCAGAAAATCCAATTCTACGACAAGATTAATAATAATAATGAGTATTAGGTTGAATAAGGATGCTAATTTTCATTTTTTACTTTTTTAATTTAGGTTTTTTTAATCCATCTTCACTCCAAACTCTTGGAACCTTTAGTAATTTGTTTGAAATGACCTAAAACGTTTATTTAATTTTAAAATTAAGACCAAATTGATTTTCAAAATAGATCAAAAGTTGGTATTAAGAAAGATAGAGTCTTAAAAATAATCTCTCGAGATAGCAGGAATATTTCTTATTAATTAAAGTTAAGCCAATTTTAATAATTTTTCTCTTAACTTCAATATGACATTTAAAATTTAACTAAAATTAGATTATGCTCAAGTTTCACATAAGTATATATTTGCCCCAATTTAATAGTAATTCCTTATATCATTGAAAATTAGGTATTCAGTAGAGTTTTCTCATTTATGTAATTAAATCATGTGCGAAAACTGAAAAAAAAGAATTTACTACGATTTTATTACAAGAGAATAACAATTGAAGAAGAATTGATGAAAAAAAATGGATTTCAACTCTATAATTGAATTTACAAAATTATATAAAGAATCATCTTTGGATTGTTGTAAGCATAATAAAATCAAGGACAATTCGTAATGAAATTTAAGGATTGTGAATTTTTTAACCTATACTTTATGAATTAATAGTTTTAATGAAATATAAAATTCAATTGAAATAAATTATTCCAATAGACTTAATTTATTTTCAAATTTAATTAAATAATATAAACCAGAATAACAATAATGTATCTCAATATTCATCATTGTAAGTCTCCTCTTGTAAATTAAAATTCCAATTCTATTCCAATTCTTTATAATCAGCTATTATTCCTATTAATTCATCTAATGCTTCAGAAAACTCTTTATCTTCTAATCCATCACCGATATACCAATGCGTAAAAGATCTTTTTGCAAAAATTTTATCAAACTATTAGACCAATAGTTTAAATCTACTCAAAATTGAACTATCATTAGAGAAGAAGGTTCCTGTTTGTTTCATTTATGCAAGTTCAGGTAATACTTAGTAATTTGAGGATTTACATTAAAAAATATTTGTATTTTAGGCAAATACATGATCTAGGTTTGTTAGTCTGTTGTTGAATTTACCATAAAAACTGTTCAATTCTTTTTATCTCAGTAATAAGATTGTACAGAGATGTCGACGATTTTAAGGACATTAAAAAAGTCTTTACTCTTTTTTTGTGATATCTTTAATGAATTATCTTTGATCTAATTCTTTTCTCTTGTAATCATTTATTAAAGTCAGTTTACTATATGATGGAATTAAATAATGGATTCTCGGATAAGGGCACATATTTAAAATAAACTTAGAGTTATCACAAGAGTTAAATCTTCTTAATCCAGTGTATGAACTAATTACTTGAGCAACCAAATTATTTAAATGCTTATAATCAACAAAATCTAAATTTAGTTGATGATCAATAACATTGTACATAGACTAATTATCAAACATTGTGAT